TGAAGACAGCTGTGATAGACTCCAGCTCCCCACGCGACCCTAGTGAGGATAAAGCAGTTCACAAAATGAATGAATATCTATATATCTATCTATCTATGCGTATATATATATATATATATATATATATATAGTAAAACTATCGGAACACCTCTTGGCCATCTACACACATAGACACATTCGGTAGAGGTCCCTCTTAGCCAATGGGATGCTCGGAAGATGCTTGGTAATAGCCAATGGCAGGGCAGCCATAAGTATGTTGAGTTCAGGAAACTCGGAGGTGGAACTAGCAACCCTTACTGTACTTACCTTTCGTATATTGAAATGTATTTTGTAACAAGTGGCAAAATGTTCCTGTTAAAGTGTTTCGTAACTTGGAAATTTTGTATGAAGAGACATTCGTAGGTCGAGGTACGTGTGTGTGCGCGTGTGTGCGTGTGTGTGTGTTGTTATTTTGATCCAACAGATTTGGGCGGGCTGAAGAGTCGAAGCAGGTTGCCATCTTGTGTACTGAGGTTGAAGTCAATAAAATGTACAATTCTCAGAAAACACTCTTGGCGGCTATATGGCTCAGTGGGTAACACTGCTGACTTTGGACAGAAGGACTGGGCTTGAAATCCCGTGCAGGGTGGGCTGAGTCAGGTGTTGGCACTCAAATTTGTATTATTTTGAACCACAGCCAAGCTGCTAATGTAGTAATCCAATTCTTAACTCATCAGTGTGGGGAGCTTTTGCCCCTTGTTGGATCAAAATTTTGACACAATGTGCTGGGTGGGTACAATCCTCAACAAAATCTTTCAAAACATCTGCCATTGGTCTTGTCTCCTCCTTGTGTCTCCTCAGCGGTGGATGAGGACACTCGCCGCAGGGTGTCGGGCGGCGTGTTGAGGCTCACGGACGTCCTGCTGAGTGACACGGCGGTGTATCAGTGCGAGGCCACCAATGACCACGGCTCCATCCTGCTCAACGCCTACCTCCATGTTGTTGGTGCGTCTTTCGAGAACATTGAATTAGATGAGATGCATTTAACAGATGACCATTTAGTTGTCTTGTCTAATGAACATGGTCTCCTATGTGCCCCTCAGAGCTCCCCCCTCAGATCCTATCCTCAGACGGCGTCGTGTACCGGATCACGGAGGGCGGGACCATCAAAATGTCCTGCGAGACTTTTGGCTCGCCGCGCCCTCATGTCAAATGGTGAGTGCCTTCACGTTATCCGCAAATCAAGAGGCAAAGAAAAAGTGAGCGGAAGCCACAAGGAAGCCAGCCGCTGATGGGCGGTGGCCACACCCAAATGAATATTGCAAAATCTCCACATGAAATGACATTAGGAGGCTTTCAAGTGCCGTGCCCAAACCACCACCACATGGATCCACCAACATCTCACTGGAAACTCAGTGTAAGCTTTCTGAGGCCTGAAGAATATTTTCCGTAAAAGACAAAACGATGATGAATGGCCAACATTCAGCTCAGATTACTAAACAAACAAAGGAGATAAAACTATCCATCCATCCAATATGTATCTTGTATATCTCTGGAGCCTATCTCAGTTGATTGCTGTTTCACCCTGGACTGGTCGCCAGACAATCATAGGGCGCATACTGTATTGACCTAAACACTCTTGGAAAAACTGTACTCAGTTGCTTCTTAAAATACTGAAATCTTCCCTAAAAGTTATCTAAAAACTAGATAAACTGAAATACTTTTAAGTTGCCAAAATATTCATGAATATCTATCTCTCTATCTGTCTATTAATGTTTGTAACTGTTTACCTTCCTTGTGTTCTACTCTTGCTCCAACTTCGTTGTTGTTGATTGAAGCTTCTGGCTTTTCCACAGCGTGGACCTCCAATCTGTGCCCGAAGTGACACTCATGGTGGTTGTTGTTTTCTAGGGAAGGGGAGGACTGGGCCCCCTTGCTGTCAGACCCCCGTGTTTCCCTGTTGACCAACGGGACCCTGGAGTTGTCTGACGTGGGTCCCGGTGACAGCGGCATGTACACGTGCTTGATCAAAAACACCAACATCTCCATCAACGCTCACCTCGAAGTGTTCAGTGAGTTGTCACACACACCCCAAGATAACACAAAAGCGCTCCGGAATTTCATATGTAAATGAAATGTCAATAAAATAAAAGCACAGATACATACACTTTCACATTGTTAACAGCAACAATTGATTTAATGTTACATTAATTTAGTTACTCGACACAACTTCACGCAAGACAACGTGATTTGTGCTGACTGCATGAAGATATACAACCGCTTCCTCCCTGCATTGTTATTCAGTGAATTGTATGACATGCTTCGAAGATAAGAGTCTTTTATTCACATAAATACAGGAAATAATGAAGGAAGGTTTGTTGGTGTTCAAAATGTGTTGTAATGAACTAGAGCAAAATCACTGCAATGGAATCAACTATGTTTTTGTTTACATCCACCTGGAACGCTTTGAGGTCGCAACTGGTACAATCTGAGCGCTCACCTTCCTAGAATGAGCCTTCGGGCACTGAGATGTCATTTTCAGTCAGCAGCCAGTGCCAAAATAGTCGCTTCCTGAGACGGATTTAAAATGGGTGGACTTTGATGCATAATTCATATGACACAAACGCAATGTTAATCATAATACTGTGTTTGCTCGTCGGGCCATCCAGAACATACTATCATAAAGAGCATTTTTGACTCAACTTCCCCTGTCAAGGACAGTTTGCCAACTCAAGCTCTTTAGTCAGGGGTTAGCTGTTGGTACTTGAGGCTGCATTGCCGCTTTGGCAGCAGGGAATCTCTGATATATGAGGGCTGAAGTCAAGGATTCCTGCACTTTGGAGTCAAGTTCCCAGTTTCTCATCTCCCTTTCTTATTCTCATAGCACTTTAGGCTCAATAACATTATTAAAACAAAATTACAGATTGTTTGACATGTGATCACAGTTTTTTGTGGTGTCGTCGTTTCCTGTCAGATAAGACAAGGATTGTGACCGGCCCGCAGAACGTGCGTGCGCTCCGAGGCGGGAAGGCGTTGCTGGACTGCTATTTTCGAAAAGATCCCCGACTGCCGCGTTACCAAATCATCTGGAGGAAAGACGGACAAAAACTGCAGGAATCATCACCGGATGACAAGTAATGACAAATCCGCCTTTAATCCTGATGGACCAACTGTACACTTCTTGCGCTAGCGTGCTAACACTAACCATGTCTGAGTGTCACTGAACATTTGAAGCACCCCACTTTGAGTTGACATAGTTGAAAGTTGTTTTGTTTTTTTTTAACCAAAAAAAAAAAAAGGATCATTATCACCAAGTTGTCAACTGAAATATCAAACGCCTTAGGAATTTTTTTTGTTCCCTAATTTCTTAATGGCATATGTATGTAAGGCATTACAGATACATTATATGCACAAAATACTTGTTTAATTAAAAGTTTTACTCTGTAGGATAATTGCAATAACACCGTGCGTGTGCGTGTGTTTGTGTTTGAAGGTACACTATATTTGCAAATGGCACATTGAAGGTAACCGATGTCCAATCAAAAGACAATGCGGCATATTCCTGCGAGGTTATCACGGAACTTGACCAGGTGACGGCCATCGGCTCCATCACAGTCGTGGGTGAGTATACTTCCGATTCTTTTTATTCCTGCTCAAAATGACCCGTTTCAATGTTTTAAAAATCTCGAACAATATATTTACTTACTCCATCCATCCATCCATCCATTTTCTACTCCGCTTATCCTCACGAGGGTCGCGGGCATGCTGGAGTCTATCCCAGCTGTCATCTGGCAGTTGGCGGGGTACACCCTGAACTGGTCACCAGCCAATCGCAGGGCACACATACAGTATATGAACAGCTATACGTACAATCATGCTAAGGCATAATTTAAAGTGTTCCATTAACCTTCCATGCATGCTTTTGGAATGTGGCATGAGGAGTACATGCAAACTCCACACAGGGAGGCCGGAGCCGAACCCTGCACTGTTAGGCGGACGTGCTAACCAGTTGACCATCGTGCTGCCAACTTATCTATTTATTTATTTAGAAGTTGGTTTTTCCTCCCCACTCTATCACACAGTATTTGAATGACCACACAGAAACGTGGTATCTTGACATTTTCTTGAGATGGGGAAATGCATTTTTCCAGTTCCCCCCCAAAAAATGCACCAATCTTTGTGGTCAAACATGTAGCCGGTCACATTGATCCATGTAAATTTTTGTAGCAAATAAACAAACCTTAAAAGAAGGATTTATCAATATTTGTAATCTCCAAACATAGATGCTCTACTACAAGACAACTTTTTCTTTCTTTTTTTTTTAGAGGCATCTTCACACACACACAGCCTGGGGAAGACAAAATATTAAACTATTTTTTCGAATTTTTACATTGTTCAACTGAAACCCAAATGTGACGCCAAAACCATTTTTTTTTAATTTCAAATTAATAGGCATGAGATAAATCAAAGATTTTTAAAAAATGTGACTATTATCTTGATAAACACTATAGCTGTTTTGATATGTAACATTTTAACAGTGAAAAAAACAGTCTCAAAATATTGCATCTAAATCAGATCTTGGCAAACATTACAATTATTTCAATGCTGAACAAAGTTTAACCAGGCTGCTCTGGTCCAGGGAAACAACTGAGATTAAAATTGGCTCTATCTAGTGGTCAGGTTGGGAATTAAAGACTAGTGGGCGGCTCGCCCAACTGGGCATCTTACCCTGCTCTGCCCTTCTGTATGCAGCCCTAAACTTGTGAAAATGTAGTTTCTTTTTGTGTGTTTGATCATCAAACAAAAAAGAGGCTCACAGTATTTCATGTTGGACCTTCAGCTCGTCCAGACCCTCCTCTGGATGTGACCCTGTCTGATGTGAAAGACGACACTTTGACTCTTAGCTGGATCCCGGGTCGCTCGCACAACAGTCCCATCACAGGTAACATGCACACACCTTCAAATGTCCATTCAGGTCCTATGACCCGCCCTGCTCATCATGTGAGCAGAGTTCATTGTGGAAGCGAAGGAGGAGCAGCATTCGCGAAGACACGACGGCGACACCTGGAGGTGGGAGGCACTCAAGCGGGTGCCCGCCGACTTCAATCACCTGCAGCTCAGCCTCCACCCTTTCTGCACTTACGCTTTCCGCGTCGTTGCTGTCAACCAGCTTGGCCCCAGCGAGCCCAGCCAGCCCACCCCTCTCCACAGCACACCCCCAGCAGGTAGGAGCCGCCAATGTTGATGCATTGAGACCTAGACGGCTTGATCGAAAACATGCAGTACAGTGCAAAAGTCTTCGCGAGCTTTAAACATATATATATATACACAGTGAAACTCCTCTACAACGAAATCATGTTTGCAGCAAGAAATTTTTCACAACAGGGGGTTTTTCACTGTAGCAAATTTGATCTTAGATGTAAGCACACACACACACACACACACACAAACGTATGTGTACACGCACACACAAACGTTTGTGTACTCTATTTTTTATTCCAATAGTACATAAGTATGAGCACACACTTATTTGACACTTCATATTGTCAGTGTAGAAAGAAAAAAAGGGAAAGAAATTGCGAAATTTACGATCAGCATTCACTTTCACTTACATCAATTTCTTGGAAAATGT